TGCTTCTACTACAGTCACAGGACCTGGAGATTCCCCTTTTAAGATTTTAAAAATAATCTTTTTAATGTTTATTCTTGAGATAGAGCAGGGGAGGGGCAAAGAGAGAGGGAGAGCGAGAATACCAAGCAGGCTCCATGCTGTCAGCACAGAGCCCAACGTGGGGCTCCAACTCAGGAACTGCAGGATCGTGACCTGAGCAGAAACCAAGAGTTGGCCACTTAACCGACTAAGCCCCCTAGGTTGTCCCCTGCCCTTTAAGATTTTAACCCCAAGCTCTGGCCAGCTCTCCAGGACACTCAAAGGTGGTTAATGTCACTTGACCAAGGGCCTCACAGGGACAACGGTCAGGCTTACCATTCACTCTCACAGACTCTAGGGACAGTACGTGCAGAAAGCCAGCAGACGGGGCAGGCTGGCATTTGGAGTTGGCCCGTGGGTGCCCATGAAGCATACTGGATGGATCAGGCAGCCATCCAGCAAGCTGCCACGTTTGTCTCTTCACCCTTCCAGAATCAGTTACCAGCAAAGACCAAATGGACCAAGTGTCCAGAGGGAGCCAGCACAGTCCAGAACCTTAGCTGCAGGAGCACCTTCCAGAACCCCACAGAGACCCACTCAGGTGCCTCCTGGGCACGGGTGGCAGCCCTCAGCCTATCCTTCCCCTCGCTTCAGAGCTGTGTGTTACTGCCAAGAGCCCATGCCAGCCGCCTACTGTTAACAAAGTGTCCTGTAAAGCTCTAATTCTGTGTGATAAGCTGTATGATAATGTATATTTAATGTGAAGTTTTAACATAGAGTTGTCTTGTGGAAATGTACCTCACTGAGCACACCTGTGTTATTTCTTTAAAACGCAACAGTGAAATCTAGTTTGATTGCCTTTTGTTTACAGAGGCTGAGGTTCTGCCATCATCTCCCAAAGGTGGATTGTTACAGGAACCTCCTGCTTCCCAGTTAAGAGGAAGATAGACCCCTAATGAGTTCGTTAAATGAAAACAAATTAATTTGTTCAGCAGACATTTGTTGAGAGCCTCCTGGTCCTCCGACCTGTTGGATACACAGGAGAATGAGACCCAGCCCCTGCCCTCAGGAAGTTTCCAGTGTGGGATGAAACAAACAGGTAGCTACACTTGGTGTAATGGGGGGGTGGGGGGATGGGG